AGAGAGTAATACAGAGTACAGGGGCTGGCGGAAGCCAAAACAGTAATAAAAGGTGTCCAATGAGCTGTGACAGTCTGTATACAAAAAGACTTTTTCGAACATATTCACATTCATAAGCAAAACATATATACATACAACATATACAGACATTCAGGTTAGGAACCAAATCCCTACCATGACAGTACAGTACAAGTCTTAACATTCTATACAAAACAGAAGTAGAAAGGGGGAATCTAAAACACTCCAAAGCAGCCTTAGCTTGAGTACACTTGGAACCTTGCAGTGAGGCACATTGGCTGGCTAGATAAAAAGAGAGTTTAACCCAACGCTCCTAGCTCCGATCCGGTGCCTGGACACCTATATATATATAAACAGTGAGCTAAAGCCCAGTGAATAACAGTTGCGTAAAGGGGTTAAGAATGAATGTCCTTTCAGTCATTAAGTAGTCATATCAGTCATTTAAAAACCATAGCAGGTATATATGGTATATCCAATAGCAAACAGTACAGTAGGTCTTAACAGACCGAACAGTCATTTGATGACCATCATAATAGTAAATAGTAGTGGTTCCAAACATGGGAACCGACAGAGATCTCTGTGACAGTAGCAGTAACAGTACAGTAACAGTAAATTGCTATGAATGCCACGAATATAGTTTACAAATAGGACAAACATTTATTCGTTAAACAATAACGTTTCAGTAAACAGAACAGTTGATCATTCAGAAAATATTCATAATTGAACATATCATTATAACATTGTTACTCAAAGAGCACTAGGTTACAGAGAGGCTAGTGAGCGTCCTCAGATGCCTACCCTACACAGTTACAAAATGAACACACACTAAGTTACACACTTGGGAATCAATGACTTAGTCCCTATCTTGACTCGGTGTGGTTCTACATCAATATCCTCATTAAGATGCCTTAAACATGGCCTAGGAATGCCTAGGATGGAATGAGGATGAAAAGATGCACTTTAAAATACTTTTCAAAATTTTCAGAAAACAAGGGTCTCGCTCGAGCGTGGCTTTCTACGCTCGAGCGGACATGCAGACAAAGGAGCTCCGCTCGAGCGTGACTTCCTTTGCTCGAGCGGACTGTAAACTCATGAAAAGTACTGGATACACGCATTTCACGCGCGAGCGTTACTTTCCCCGCTCGAGCGGGATGCATGTACTCAGAGTGTACGCTTGAGCGTGGAGTTCCCTGCTCGAGCATGGATCCAAAATCCGAAATTTCTAGATTTGTCTCCAAGCACAAAACTCAACATTTAAAGCATCAAATTAAATTCATTTGGGCCAATTTTCTGGAAAACACTTTAAAACTCATAATATGACATGTTTTGAAGATCAATTTGCAAAATCAAAGCCCAAAGGTGAGTCAATTAAACACAATTTCAAATAAACTTCAAGAACATAAAGTGTATGTAACATGCATGTGTTCGATTGAAATCAAAGCTTCCAATACGTAATCAAATGAGTCAAAACTTTCAAAAACATGATGAATTCATGAACTATAATTAAGATATGGACATGCATGTAGCAATTTTCATGGAAAGACCTCAAAACTCAAGAATGTGTACATGCATGCATGATTTAAGCTTCAATTCAACATTTTGAACCAATTCTAGACTCTAATCACCAAACTTCCATGAAACATGCAAGATACAACTTAAATACAAGTTCAAGAAGATGATTCTCCTACCTTAGGTCCTCAATTTCAAGAATGGAAGCTCAATTTGTGCAATTATCCTCCAAATCTTCTAATTCTCCAAGCCAATTTGATGAACTCAAGTCTTTCCTCCTACTCTCCCTCTCTCAATTGGTTTTGGTCTCAAGAATGAACAAAATGATGCAACACATAAGCTTTAACAAGACTTAACAAAGTGGCACACTTCTATGGCATTTTGGTAAATAAGCCAACTAATGTAATTTACCATTATTTAATCTAATTTAATCATTTTAAATCACATTTCAATCAAATCTACCATAAAATCATATAAATTCTAATTAGCATAAAACATTAATTGATTTCAGATTCGGCTGCCGATAAGGCTTTCAATTTACAGTTCAAACTTAAAACATGAACAGATCAATTAACAGTCAAACAGATAGAAATGCATTTAAACTAATACACTCAATCAATCAGTTTAGAATGTCAGTCAAATCAGTTACTTAATCATGTTCAGTCACAGTTTAACAGTAATCAGTGGCATTATCAGTAAACAGTGGTGAGGGTTGTCACAACCTTCGACTTCATGGTTGAGATCCTTTAGCTCGCATGTTTATGAGTGCGATCGAGTTAATCATGATAGAGATTCACATTCAACTCGGGTTTGGTTTCTGTGATATGGAGATTGATCTATGTTGCTATTGATTTGCTCTCAATACAAATTATGTTTAGTCTTGATTTCGATTCGATGGCTCAACAAGGTATTGGTCGATGGGGTAGTCCGACGGGGTAGTTATGGAAGAACTTTTGCTACAAATTTGGGTAAAGAAATTGAAATGAATCATCCAATTGGGACAAACAATAACAACCAAAATGGGTTTGGATTTATATATGTGAACTGGGTTTATATATTAAAAGGAAAAATGGATTTGGATTTGTCTACAACAAAAATGATCTCTCTCTGCTGCTATTTTGAACTTTTGAACATGAAACACTCCATTTTTCTTCCACGGTTTGCTCCATGGTAGAGACCCAGATTGGCTGAAGATCATGAACACTCCTAATCTAGAGTTGGAGCCCATTGATGGAAATAGAGCATCTTGAATCAAAAAGCATCTTTAGCAACTTGATATCACCATTTTCGTTGCTGTATAGGTAATAAGTTCTAATCAAGATAAAGGGAGGGTTGAAGAAACAACCTTGTTCATTTTTTGAGAGAGGAGGAGGAAGAAGAATGGCAAGCTTTTGTAAACTTAAAGATGTGTAAGCGGTATTTTGGTCATAAAACATAATTTACTCTCTTCATGGACGTGTGAATTTCACAGCCTGTTAATTTGGATGGAAAAGCTAACTGTGCGTTTTAGTCTACAAACCACATGGAGGTTATGTGGTGATTTCTAAATATTAGAGGGGTGATCCGCACCCGACCCAAACCACATGGGGTAAAGTAAAGTTTGCTCATATTCATAATCAAATCCGGTCAACTCGACCCGATTGAAGATTTTTATTATTATATAATATTATATACTTGTCTTAAAACTACACCTAATCTTAATCAATCTGACGTTTGACAGACTGTGTTTCCACTCTTCATAAACAAATGTTTTCTCTCTCCTAAATTCTAAGTTGAACAAAAAAATGAACAGAGTTTTAAATATATAATATTAATATAATCTGCGCTTTGGTAGATGTGTTTTTTTTTTATATTTATTTTCCATAAGCATTCATGAAACCCTAAGAAGAACAAAAAGGAAGAGTCTCCTTACTCTTCACTTCAGTCTCTCTCTCTCTCCCTCCTTTCCTCTCTCTGACTCATCCCCCTCTCTCTCTCTCTCTTTCTCTCTCTTCTCGATGCTTCTCTTCTTTTCCCTTTCCTACTTTCTTTAGCTGGTGATGGTGGTAGACAAGGTAGTAAATAACGGCGACTGTGAGCGATCATGATGGTGGATATTGCGATTGCGATGAGCGATGGTGTGGTGGTATTTGAGCGGCGACGACATCAATTAGTTATGGCGATGACAGTGGTAATGAGTCCTCATCTCTTTCTCCCTTTTTTCCCATTTTCTCTCAACTCTCTCTTTTTCATAGATTTGTAAGTATATATATATGATTTCAATTTCATTTTTCATAATTTTTTCTACCTCCATTAGATGTTCGAAATCGACCGAACCGACCACCAAACCGAGTTATTTAATTCGGTTGATTTTGAAGTGCAATTCACTTGACAACGGATGACTGGTTTTATAATCCCAATGAGTCAGTTTGGCTGACGGGCCAAGGGTAAACCCAAGCCAAACCGACCGTGTGCACCTCTACTTTTATAGCACAATAGAACTAAAATTATTAAAATAAATAAATTTTCTACCTCCATTAGATGTTTGAAATCGACCAAACCAACCACCAAACCGAGTTATTTAATTCGGTTGATTTTGAAGTGCAATTCACTTGACAACGGATGACTGGTTTTATAATCCGAATGAGTCAGTTTGGCTGACGGGCTAAGGGTAAACCCAAGCCAAACCGACCGTGTGCACCTCTACTTTTATAGCACAATAGAACTAAAATTATTAAAATAAATAAATAATTTAACTAAATTTATCATATATAAGTATTTAAGTAACACTTTTATGGAACAATAAGGCTAAGATTATTAAGATAAATAATTAAAATTAAAATTTTATTTTAAATTAAAATTAATATTATTCTTTTGTAACACATATCATAGTATAAAATATTGTTACATTAATTAAAGTTAATTCATTTGTGATTTTATGTTAGACATCATATTTTTGAAAGTGATTTACATACATGTATAAGCATCCAATTTAATATTGATTGATTAAAATAATGGAACTCAATACTTTTGGGGTTATGCTAGCGACCCAATAAATTACCAATTTTTCAACTAAACCTCTCACATGGTGTGGGACCCACACACATGTGATTTGTGTTGGTCCCATATCCATGTGAGAGGTTTGAAAAAAATTTGGTAATTTATTTGGCGTCCATAGCATTTTTCATACTTTTTTTGTTAAGTTTTTAAAAGATAAATTGACAAATGTCAAATGGTAAATAGTGTGAAGTATTATTAAAGAATAGTGATTCATCGAAAATAATTGTGTATATTTAAGGCACTTATTAATATTTTCTTGAATAATTTTTAAATAAAATTTTTGAATTTATAGTATTACTGATAATGCACCTTCATGAGTTCTATGAGAAAAGATGTGCAAAAATAATTTGGCTGAAATAAAAATTTTATAGTTATTATAATGTGTCACATAATTAATTAGAAGTTTTTTAAGAACTGAAATTATTAAGGTTATAGAGATTTTGTGCCTGATTTTGTGCCTGATTTGAATTTATAATTTTTTACGCATCAATGTTAATAACTTTTACGATCTTACTGATATAAAAATAAATTCTACATTTGAGTCAACCCACCGTGTAATAAAATACTTAAATATTATCATATAAAAATATTATAATAGATCATAATAAAACATTACTTGAAAAATAATTAATGACCTAATTCACCACTTTAGAAATAGCCAAAAAACATAATAAATTAGCAAAAGTCTTTTTGATTAATAACCAAAATAATACACCATGAGTTATAATCAAGTCATAATTTGTATATTATAGAATTTTCTGAATTTTTTTTTTTATAAATGAATAATTCAATATTTTTTTTTTTTTTTTTTTTTTTTGCAAAAAATTATTTTGATACAAGTGGAATTCATTATTTTTGGTAAATTTGAGTCAACCCATCTTGAATACTTATTCGTGTAATAAAATACTTAATATTATAATAGATCATAATCAAATACTACTTGAAGCTAATGACCCGATGCACCACTTTAGATATAACCAAAAAATATAAGAAAGTAGCAAAAATATTTTCGATAAATAACCAAAATAATACACCACGAGTTATAACCAAATCTTATTTTTTATATTATAGAATTTTTTGATATTTTTATTTTTTTTAGAAAAAAATATTTTGATACAAGTGGAATTCACTATTCTTGGTAAATTTAATTAATACAGATGAGGATTTGATTTCAAGTTGATAATATATATATATATATATATATATAACCTTGAAATAAATTGTTTTTATTAGCCTATTTTATATAGGACCACACACAGTGGTAAAAATTTTCATGAGCCATTAATAAATTTATTTGCATTTGATTTTTAATTGTTAAAATTTTCTACTCATAAAGTATTAAAACTAAAAATTAATATTTTACTACTAGTTTATTATATAAAGCACAATTATTGTGGTTCATATAAACTACACTTGCCAAAGATTATGAACATTAAAGTTTTCATAATATTATTTAACACCAAAGAAAGCGGACTAAATACAATTGAAAGAATAAATTAATGGCCACACCTTTATTACATGGTAAAAAAAAAATGATAGAAAATAACCGAAGAAAGCAAACTTAAAACAATTGAAAGAATAAATTATTGGCCACCTTTATTACATGGAAAAAAAAAGAAAATTTATCCATAAGTCCTAGTTTTTGAAAAGTTGAACCATTTAGTCTTAAAAGTTTTTTTATGCTCCATTTAGTCCCATTTGCACATCAATCTAATGTTTGAAATATTAATCTGATGTTCGAAATCTAATGTTCGAAACATTAATCTGATATTCGAAATCTAATGTTCAAAACATTAATCTGATGTTTGAAACAATGTAATGGGACTTTTCAGCCTATAAGAAAACTTTTAGAACTAAACAATGTATAAGTTATTAATTTGGGATTTATTGGTACATCCCCCAAAAAAATGATAGAAAATAACAACAATGTAGAACAACTCTTAACATTTGGGGAGATCTTGTGGAGGCGGAGGCAACGTAGTTGAAGGTGTTGGTCCGTTCTCAACCACAAAACCCATCGATAAGCCCCACGGCATGTGTATATCCATGTGACAATGCATCAACCATATACCTGTAAACATCAATTTTTTCAAAAAGCATAATTTAGTATACATTTACACAACACACACACACATTAAAATGACAGAGCCATGCATAATAAAACATTATATTTACCAGGATTGTTTGCTTGAAATCTGACAACAACCCACCCTCCGGTCGGCACAGCAATGGTGTTTCGCGCCTGCGGATTGACTAGATTGAACTTTTTGGGATCATTTATTGGGTCATAGTTTCCAAACCCTTGAGCCAAGACATGGAAGTTGAATCCATGCAAATGCATAGGGTGGCTCTCTATACCCAGTGAGGCTGTGTTTTGTAACACTATCTCAACAATTGAATTGAACTTAAGTTTTTTCACTTTGGTTGACTTTGATGTCATTATGATCGTTCTATTGAAGTTGTTGTTTGAATTTGTGTAATCAAATACCAATGGTGGTTGGTCGGGGAAATCAGTCGTGTAGATTCCATCAACATTGTTGAAAAAGGCTTCCATCATTGACAACTTGGTGTTGAACTCGAATGATGCGTTGTTCAAGCTTGCGGCTAATCGCTCTCCAAGTGGACCATCACAGGTGGAACTTGCTTCGCATGGGATCAAGCCCAAACTTATTGTCACAAACATGTGTTCATCAACATTGAGTGGGACTGGGACCCAATGAGGCGCAATAACTAGGGCAGTTAAACTAGAATAGAACTTGTAGGCTGTTGGTGTGTCATTGAAGGCTGGTAGGACCGGCATTCGTGGGGTTGATGATATGGCATTCTCATAGACAATGATCCCGGTGGTAGAGGTGGTAGTATCCGGTATACCTTCTGAACTAAGGTAGGTATGTGCTGCCATGTAGTAATAGGCTGCTGGTTGGTCGGCAATGAGTAGTGCGTCGATGGTCTGGCCAGGAGCAATAACAATGAAGTCGGTGACCATCGGAGTAGTATAAGTGGCGTCAACGGCAACAACTGTCATTTTGTGGTTGGCTATCTTGAAGAAGAATTGGTTATTCATTGCAGCGTTGATTATGCGTAGGAGATATGTTTTACCTTGTGCCAAATTTACCTTATATGTGCCTGAAAAGAAAAAAAAATATTATTTTGTACAAAAGTATGGGAGAGGTCAAGTAAAAACTGATATTAAACATCTAAGTATAACTTGGCAACTAAATTTGCAATGTTAGTGTATAGTGTGATAATACTTACTATTTGAAGAACAATGATAGAGATCGCCGGGTTGCCCATTGATGGTGAAAGCATTGGAACTGTTAGGAGGACCACCGTTTGCAAGTGCTTGGTTCTCGACGTCAATAATATTAGCATTCCACCATTCTCCTGTAATCACAATTTAATAAATGACTAATCTTATAGGCATTGAAAAAGTATGTTTTCTATTCATTTTGAAGTGAAACAATGCAATCAAATATTAACTAAAAGTTTTGAACCTCAACATTATAGACATTACATTCATTACTATTTTCATTTTTTTATTATGCGTCTGTATTTCTATGTCGACTTTTTCCAACAAAAATGTGCAATGAACTATCCTAATTTGTTGTTTGGGAAATATATATATATATACTAGTGATTGAGAAAAGAAAAATAAAACAAAAATATAACTATATTTCCCCACAGAAATTGTAATTTTGAAGTACAAAACTTCTAGAAATGATATTTAGTTGGTTTGAATTCTATAAGATTAGGAAACTTTTTTTTTTTATACTAATGTATGTTAGGTTGCTAAACTACTCTCAATTATCAATTACCTTTGAAGATTTGAAAAATAATAAACATCGTATATGATTGGGTAATAAACTTGATAATAGAATATTGTCTTTGCTAGTAACGAGTCCGTGTTTATTTTTACTTATCAATTATCATAATAAGTGTACTAATACATGAAGCACAAGAGAGTTTCTAGTGGAATAAACAAAATGATTGATACCTAAAAGAATTGGAAATTCTCTGTAGGGTTTTAGGAATGGGTATGAGTAACCAACTTTTGGACGGATGATTAACGCCCCATAAACGGTTGCACGAAGCCATTGACTATGTGCGTGCCACCATAGGGTTCCTTCTTGTCCTGTGATGTTGAATCTGTAAGTATAGCTATTTCCGGGACGTATTGGACATTGAGTTGCATATTCAGGTCCATCTGCCCATGCACTCAATATTTGAAAAATTCCATGCCTGCATATATGAACACATACTCATATCAAACTTAGTCTGATGTAAGTTAAAAGCAAAATAAAAAAAAAACTCAGCGTAAATGAAAAATTTATATTACCAATGAATAGTAAGGTTGTAAGGAGATTTATTAAAGACATGAACAACAAGGGTGTCCCCCTCATAAGCCAGTATTGTTGGGCCTGGGAGGCCTTCATTTACAGCAGTGATTACTTGATTGCGGCATAATCGTTGGAGAGTCATGTCTTTTACCTAAAATGATATAAATGAAATAAGCTATGTTATCAAATCTAAAATTTTCAAGTTTAAGTAATCATGCACATATTGAGAGAAAAGAATACAAAGGGCCTAATTTTTCGAAAGCAAAAAATTGGGAATAGGATAGTTTATTTTAGGCAAAGAGAAGCACTAGTAACTATATCAAGCAAGAGCAATAACTTCTTGTTAGTCTAATGGTATAAGAAAAAAAAAAAAAAAAACATTTTAAAGACATAATAATTTTATATGTTACTAATTTTTTTGTCACGGTTTTATATCACTCCTATATACTATGAAATATTTTAAGTCTACAAGAAAGGCTTTCAAAAACTAGCAGGTCGAGCATACTTGACTCAGAAAAAGTGCATAGAATAAACACAATCAGAAGTGAGTCCCATACAAAGTGACAAAAAACTATTGAAATGGGTAAGACAAATTACTACGAAAGAATACTCTACAATATCAGTAGAGACGAGTGAAGCAATCAAAAGAGTTAAAACCCAAACGAGTAAGAACACAGGCCGTGCCATACTAATTGACCGAATAATAAATGATAGAGAGCCAAAGAAACGAAAATCAAAAGAATCTCTCTCTCTCGTTTTTGTGAGAAGTGCTCAAGATTTTTGTAAGTGGCTTTGTATTTCATACAAGGATGTTGTGTGTGTTTGTTCTGCAATTCCTTTCCATATATATAGTAGTTGGGTATGTAGATAGACAAGTCTGTTTACCAATAAGGAGTAATTTGAATGAGACTTTTAATAAGTCAATCGTGGAAATATTACATTAAATAAATCCCAAAGTCGTAGAATGTTAGCTGTTTATGCAATTACAAGGGGCTTGATTTGTGTAATGTCAATCTTACGTCATCAAATGTTTGTTTTGTCCTAATTTTAGTGGTTCTTTTGAAGTTATAATGATAAAATATGACATTACTTTTTGATATATATGTAGATATTTGGGTGCCTTCATAGCTGTTCATCACTATTATTTGATTTTACCATTTCATATAATTGGACCAATATATTTTGACATTTGTGCAGTTAGACACCCATTGAAATTGAGAATAAGTAATTATTTATTTATTTTTATAAAGATTGATAATCTTTAGTTTCAGTTTTTTAAATTTAATTTTTTAAAAATTAAATTTTTATTTTTCGTATTTTTTTTTTATTTTTAGTGATTTTTTTAATATTTTAAGTAATTTTTTTTAAATACACTTAATATAAATACAATTAAAATGTATAATGTGTGTGAATTTTTTTTTAAAAAAATTTACTAAATACCAAAAATATAAAAAATATAGGGTAAATTATACTTACCTCCCTTGAGGTTTCTGACAAATACAGGGACCTTCCTTGTGATTTGAATAATTACATAAACCTCCTCTACTTTACATGATATTCTCCAGATTCCTCCATCTCGTCATATTGGCACAAACAACGTTAGTTGCATATACTAAATGACCTTATTACCCTTGCTTTTGAGGACGAAAAGAGAACAATACCCTTTCTAGCCTAAATCCCTAAATTACTCTCTATTCTGAAATACAGTCGAATTTCTGAGAGAAAGAAGAGAGAGAGAGAGAGAGAGAGAGACGAAATCTTGGAAGAAAAGTGATCAAACTGAAGAAACGACGAAGAATTTCCTGGATTTGGTTCGATCACCGTTGCTAGGACAAAATGTAAAAGAGATTGATCGGTGACAAGTTGTTTTAGGGCTTCCAGGTAAGATTTTGAACTTTTTATACTTCGATTATGATAATTTTGAGTTTAGAGTTTATGATTATGTTTGGTTTTTCTTCATTTTTACGAAATTTCTGGTTGAATAGGTTTGGTATATGAAATGTATGTCCAAAGGGTTTGATTCGAAAATATACATTTAGGGTTTTTATGTCTTGTCCAAATTTTTTCATTCAGAAATAGGGATTTGTTAAATATTAGTATAGTAATAGTGTAATTTAGGACTTTTGTTAGATTTTGGGGTGTTGTAATTTTCTAATTGTATAGGTTTAAAGTTTTTGTTAATTTTTGTTATTTTTTTTCCCTTCGCATTTTATGTCTTCTGATTGTTAATTTATTGTTAGAAATAGTTTTCTTTTCTTGATCTCATAAGAAATATTGAAAATTAGGGATTTTGGTTTATTTGCAAAATTTGGAGTTTTTATTTATTTCTGTTATGAAGTTGGGGCTTTCTTCTTTTATTTCTGCTACTTATGAATTTTCTTAGATATAACCTGATATTAGTTCAATTTTGTTACATTTGGATGAGTAATTGTTCAATGGAGTAGTATTTTTATAATTAATTGTTACTTATTATGATCACAGTATGGCTGCATTGTCTTATTTTGATTTAATCATCAACTACAAAGGCAAAGTGGGCAGAATATACGATGTGGGCCCAAACATGTATTGCTACATTGATGCCTTGAAGGATGTGACTAAAACAGTCCTCTCTCACATTGATTGTAGTGAAGTAATAGCTATCACATTGCATTGTGATATGCCTGGTACTGAAAATAGGAGATTAATAGAAAATGATCTTGATGTGTTGGATATGTTTTATGTGCAAGGTAGGAGTAAAACAATTAACTTATATGTAGATATTGCATATTGTATTGGAAAGGAAGATGGTCAAGGTAGAAATGATATTGGAGATAACAATGGTGGAGATGGAAATAGTGGAGTTCATGGAGTGCATACTGTAGAGGTAGATGAAGAGTACCATGAGGACAATGTGTATGGGTTTAGTGATGAGGATATGGATTGGAATGCAAGTGTTGATGGTGAACATGAATCAAATGGCACTGTCAGTTTGAGTGATGAGGATAATAAAGAGTCTAATGAAGATGATGGACTTAGTGATTACCAATCTGGTGATGATGAATTTGATGGTGAAGTAGACTGGATGGATGATGAAGAGATGAGGTATCTAGGCAACCAATTTGATAGTACTTACAGTGGAAAAGAGCCATATTTGAATCAAGAAGGAGAAGTTGTATTGGAAAAGGGAATGATTTTTCCAGATGTGCATAGCTTTAGAGCTAGATTGAGGGACTATACAGTGTAGACTGGTTTCAAGACAGTTAGGGACAAAAATGGGAAAGCTAGAGTGACAGCCCATTGTGTTGCTGAGGGATGCCCTTGGAGAATTCATGCATCTCCTCTTTCAGATGAGATTACTTACAAGATCAAAACCTTGGTACCTAATCACACATGTAGTAGGATGAACCAAAATAGTGAAGCAACATCAACTTGGATTGCCAAGAAATTGGTTGATAGTTTTAAGGAGAATCTACACATGGGGTTAGACACTATGCATGTGAAGCTTAACAAACCTTATGGGATTGAGGCCTCAAGAATGCAATTGTATAGAGCCAAAAGGAAGTGCAAGGAGGAGCTGGAGGGTGATCATGGCAGCCAGTATGTGTTGCTACCAACATATGTTGAGGAAATTAAGAAAACAAACCAAAATAAATAAGTCGAACACCCTTTCTAGCCTAAATCCCTAAATCACTCTCTATTCCGAAATACAGTCGAATTTCTGAGAGAAAGAAAAGAGAGAGAGAGAGATGAAATCGTAGAAGAAGAGTGATCGAAGTGAAGAAACGATGAAGAATTTTCTGGATTTGGTTCGATCACCGTTGCTAGGACAAAATGTAAAAGAGATTGATTGGTGACAAGTTGTTTTAGGGCTTCCAGGTAAGACTTCAAACTTTTTATACTTCGATTATGATATTTTTGAGTTTAGGGTTTATGATTATGTTTGGTTTTTCTTCATTTTTACGGAATTTCTGGTTGTATAGGTTTGGTTTATGAAATGTTTGTCTAAAGGGTTTGATTCGAAAATATACAATTAGGGTTTTTATGTTTTTTTCCAAATTTTTTCATTCAGAAATAGGGATTTGTTAAATATTAGTATAATAATATTGTAATTTAGGACTTTTGTTAGATTTTGGGGTGTTGTAATTTTCTAATTGTATAGGTTTAAAGTTTTTGTTAATTTTTGTTATTTTTTTTCCCTTCGCATTTTATGTCTTCTGATTGTTAATTTATTGTTAGAAATAGTTTTCTTTTCTTGATCTCATAAGAAATACTGAAAATTAGGGATTTTGGTTTATTTGCAAAATTTGGAGTTTTTATTTATTTCTGTTATGAAGTTGGGGCTTTCTTCTTTTATTTCTGCTACTTATGAATTTTCTTAGATATAACCTGATATTAGTTCAATTTTGTTACATTTGGATGAGTAATTGTTCAATGGAGTAGTATTTTTATAATTAATTGTTACTTATTATGATCACAGTATGGCTGCATTGTCTTATTTTGATTTAATCATCAACTACAAAGGCAAAGTGGGCAGAATATACGATGTGGGCCCAAACATGTATTGCTACATTGATGCCTTGAAGGATGTGACTAAAACAGTCCTCTCTCACATTGATTGTAGTGAAGTAATAGCTATCACATTGCATTGTGATATGCCTGGTACTGAAAATAGGAGATTAATAGAAAATGATCTTGATCTGTTGGATATATTTTATGTGCAAGGTAGAAGTAAACAATTAACTTATATGTAGATATTGCATATTGTATTGGAAAGGAAGATGGTCAAGGTAGAAATGATATTGGAGATAACAATGGTGGAGATGGAAATAGTGGAGTTCATGGAGTGCATACTGTAGAGGTAGATGAAGAGTACCATGAGGACAATGTGTATGGGTTTAGTGATGAGGATATGGATTGGAAT